GAAAAGTTGCAGTTTTTAATTTCTTTAAGTTGAAGTGGAGTTTTAGCACAAGTTTAAACATTCACAATACATATCAAACAAGCATGACAAGAGTATATGAGCAGCGAAAAATAAATCATGTAAGTTGCAAGAATGTAAAGGGATGGGATTTGAGTGTGCAAACGCAATTGGAGACATGGAGATTATTGGCGTGATTCCGATAGGTGGTGCTATCATACATCCACGTTGATGGAGACTTCAACCCACGAAGGGTAACGGTTGCGCGAGTCCACGGAGGGCTCCACCCACGAAGGGTCCACGAAAAAGCAACCTTGTCTATCCCACCATGGCCATCGCCCACGAATGACTTGCCTCACTAGGGTAGATCTTCACGAAGTAGGCGATCTCCTTACCCGTACAAACTCCTTGGTTCAACTCCACAATCTTGACGGAGGCTCCCAAGTGACACATAACCAATCTAGGAGACACCACTCTCCAAAAGGTAATAGATGGTGTGGTGATGATGAACTCCTTGCTCTTGTGCTTCAAATGATAGTCTCCCCAACACTCAGCTCTCTCTCATAGGATTGGATTTGGTGGAAAGAGGGTTTGAGTGGAAAGCAACTTGGAGAAGGCTAGAGATCAAGATTTATGTGGTTGGAATGGAATATCTTGACCTCAACACAAGTGTATGTGGTTCTCTCTCAGAAAATGTATGTTGAAAGTGTAGGCATGTTCTGATGGCTCTCTCCACGAATGAAGAGTGGGTGGAGGGGTATATATAGCCTCCACACAAAAACTAACCGTTACACACAATTGACCAAACTCGGTGGGACCGAATCAGAAAACTCGGTCAGACCGATTCAGTTCACAATGTGACCGTTAGGATTTTCGGTGGGACCGACATGATCAACTCGGTGGGACCGATGTGCTAGGGTTAGGGTAAAACCTCATCTCGGTTTGACCGATTACACAAACTCGGTGGGACCGATTTGGGTAATAAGCAAAACAGAAAGTTGGTCAAGCAAACTCGGTGGGACCGATTGCATATCTCGGTGAGACCGAGATTATTGCAATAGACAACATAGAGTTTGCAAGCCCATCTCGGTGAGACCGAGGTCCCATCGGTGTGACCGAATTGATTAGGGTTTGTGGCAATGGCTATGTCAAGAGAACTCGGTGGCGCCGGATGGAAAATTTTGGTGGGGCCGAGTTTGACTTTTGGTTGGGACATATGTGGATATGAGAAAGTAGTTGAGGGTTTTAGAGCATATCACTAAGTATTTTGAGAAAGAAAGCCATTAAGCAACACCTCATCCCCTTTTAATAGTATTGGCTTTCCTATGGACTCAATGTGATCTTGGATCACTAAAAGCAAAATGTAGAGTCTTGAGTTTTAGAGCTTGAGCCAATCTTTTGTCTTCATCATCTTGAAGGGGTTCCACATCTTGTCCACACCACTCCATCTGTTGAACTTATCTGAAATATACTAGCTAAAACATTAGTCCAACAAGAGATATGTTGACATTAATTACCAAAACCACCCAGGGAGCACTTGTGCTTTCATCTTCAAAGCTTCTTGTAGGCAAAGGTTTTGTGAATCCATCTGCAAATTGATCTTTGGAGTGCACAAAGCGAATATCAAGTTGCTTCCGAGCAACTCTTTCTCTGACAAAATAAAAATCTATCTCTATGTGTTTTGTCCTTGCATGGAACAACGGATTTGCAGAGAGATACGTGGCACCAAGGTTGTGACACCATAAGCAAGGAGCCTGTTTACTTTTTATGCCAAGTTCCTTCAGCATGGACTGAACCCATATTATCTCGGCTGTGGCATTTGCCAATGCCTTGTACTCTGCCTCTGTGCGCCTGTTTACGTGCACACCATGATATCAAATTAGGTCCAAAAAATACTGCAAAACCACCACTGGAGCGTCTTTCATCAAGACAACCTGCCCAATCAGAGTCAGAGAATGCACTGACAAGAGCAAATGGTGATTTGCTGAAGTTCAGTCCTAAGTTCAGAGTGTGCTTAACATATCGAACTATACGTTTTGCAGCTGTCAAATGAACATTGGTGGGTGCATGGAGAAACTGGCAGACTTTGTTAACAGCAAACGAAATAGCAGTCCTGGTAAGTGTGAGATACTGAAGGGCTCCTACCAGACTCCTGTATCTAGTGTTGTCCTCTTGACTCAAGGGCTCGCCTTCTGCAAGGGATAATTTTTCTGAGCTAGATAACAGAGTAAGAGAGGGTTTGCATCCTTGTAACCCAGCCTTCTTAACCAAGTCAGTGGCATACTTTTCTTGAGAGAGGAGAAGTCCATCCTTGTGCTTTTTCACCTCAATCCCAAGAAAGTAATGCAAGTCACCAAGATCCTTTAGAGCAAAATCTGCACTCAAATCTTTAAGAAATCATGTGATCGCTTCATCAAATGAGCTAGTCACAATAATATCATCAACATATATAAGAACAAATATGCATGTGTTGGACTTGTTGTAGATGAACAATGATGTGTCAGACTTAGAAGGAACAAAACCAAGTGCTTGCATTTTGTGACAGAGGCGAGCATACCATGCCCTTGGAGCTTGCTTTAACCCATATAGCGCTTTATCAAGCTTGCACACATAAGAAGGAGCATTCTTACTCTCAACCCAGGAGGTTGTTTCATGTACACTTCCTCTTACAGATCACCATGGAGGAACGCGTTCTGAACATCGAGCTGTCTGAGACTCCATCCTCTAGAAACGGCAATAGACAGGACAAGGCGAATAGTGGCCGCCTTTACCACCGGACTAAAGGTGTCCTCATAGTCTATGCCATATCTCTGTTTAAAGCCTTTTGCAACGAGTCTAGCCTTATAATGATCAATGGTTCCATCAGTTTTCCTCTTAATCCTGAAAACCCACTTGCAATCAGTCAAAGTTTTACCTTACTGTGGGGGAACCAAGTGCCATGTTTTGTTTCTCATCAATGCCATGCATTCTTCATGCATAGCTTTTTTCCACTTCTCATCACACAATGCTGCTTCAAGGGTGTTAGGCTCATCTGGTTCACCTATGGAACATGTAATTAATGGGTTGAATTACCCCTTGTTGCAGTCGTGTGCGTCGTGGTTGTGAAACATCAGGATCAGTAGCCATAGAGGATCCTGCAGACTGCTCATGTGTGACCGCATCAGATCCCAATGAAGATGCTGAAGGATTTTCTGCGGCTGATTGTTGAAGTGGAGCACGTGAATTAGCTGCAGAGGATCCTTCCGGTGCATGTGCATGTAGCTCATCATTGTGTGATGATGGCACATCCACCTGGGTCGCGGCACCGGTCGGACCCTCCCTACGTCACGTGCCATCACGCCGCGTGTACGTCACCGGGTGGGTGGCGTACCTCGTACCACAGGCAGATGGCGACTGGTGCGGGGCCTTGACCGCCCGAGAGCGCGTATCCCCCACGAGGCCGGCACATGGGTCTAGGAAAGGCGTGGCGTGCGCGCCCGCGCCTGCGGCTACCCCGTCAGCAGGAGGAGATCCCGAGGCGCCCGCACCTGCCTCGTTCGCAGGGAGCGATCCCGAGGCGGATTCGATCCCCTGTAGCTGGGCAGATCCCGAGGACGATTTGTCTCCCCCGGTGAAGCACATAGAATATGGCTCATTTTCAGCCGCATTTTCTGCAGTTTCCGCACTGTTTTCTTCTGTTGCATCAACACAAAACTCATGCACATTATTAGATGGGTTAGTCAATAGGTCATCAATATTAGGTCCCCCTTGATCAAAACTAGTGAGATGAGAGGTCAAAAGAAGGATTTCTTTGTGAAGGAGTGAACCAGCATTGGGATGGAGGTCAGCAAACGGAAATTTTGTTTCATCGAAGACCACGTCACGTGAGATGTAGACACGGCCAGTGGAGACATCTAAGCACTTGACCCCTTTATGCTGGGCACTATATCCTATGAAAACACACTATTTTGAGTGAAACATGAGTTTGCGATTGTTGTAGGGATGAAGGTTGGGCCAACATGCACACCCAAAAACACGGAGAGACTTATAATCTGGTTTGGTGTGAAGAAGTCGTTCTACCGGAGTTTCATTGTTAATGACATGACTGGGTAGCATGTTGATAATGTGAACGGCTGTGAGGAAAGCTTCGTCCCAAAACTTGAGAGGCATGGAGGCGCTTGCCAAAAGGGCAAGGCCAACCTCGACAATGTGCTTGTGCTTGCGTTCAGCGGAACCGTTTTGTTGGTGAGCATGCGGACATGACACGTGGTGCGAGATGCCAAGATTTTGGAAGATGGAATTTAACTTTTCGTATTCCCCTCCCCAATCTTATTGGACAACGATAATTTTGCTATCAAACTTGCATTCAACAAGAGCTTGAAAGTTTTGGAAAACTTGAAACACATCTGATCTCCTTTTGAGGAGATAGATCCAAGAAAATTTACTATAGTCATCAATGAAACTGACGTAATATGTATGTCTACCAACAGAGGTAGGGGCTGGACCCCAAACATCATAAAAAATGAGTTGCAATGGTTTGGTAGATATACTAGTTGAGATGGGATACGGTAATTGATGACTTTTAGCTCGTTGACATGAATCACAAATAGTTTCAACATGACGCTCACCAACAAACGGGAGCTTATTTTTCCTAAGCAACTTTTCAACTAAAGAAAAAGAGGCATGTCCTAAACGATCGTGCCATCGTGTGGACGAAAGCTTGATAGCACCACAAGCTTGTTTATTGAATCTTCTAAACTCTGGAATCAACGGGTAGAGCCCTCGAACACATCTACCTCGATAGAGGATTTTTCTCGTTGCCTGATCCTTGATCAAAAAGAAAAAAGGATGAAATTCGAGAAAAACATGATTATCAATGGCAATTCTATGGACGGAAAGATGATTTTTGTGTGCACTAGGGACATGCAAGATTTTCTTAATGTGTAGTTTGCGACTAGGGGTACGAAATATAGAGTGACCAATGTGACTTATACCCATACCTTCTCTGTTGGCAGTATGGATTTGATCTTTGCCGCGGTATTTTTCCTTCATGGTGACCTTCTCAAGCTTGTTCGCGATATGATTTGTGGCCCTGCTATCGACGTACTAGTTGGTGTCAATGCCGTAGGAACCATCAGCGGCGGCAACTACCTTGTCATCGTCTTGAGAATCATCATCATCGTCATACCTGTACCAGCAGTCTTTTGTTGTGTGTCCAGGCTTCCCGTAGATCTGGCATCTTGGGGTCTCCGGACGCGTTCTGTTGCTGCCACCACGTCCACGCCCGCGGCCTCGGCCGCCCGAGCACGGAGGAGAGTGGCCATGGTCGTTCCCGCCGCCTCCACCAGATCGCCCCTTGTAGCAGGGAGAGCCACGCGAGCGGGATCCACCGCCCCAGCCGCGAGACGCCATGTTTGCAGAAGATTTGAAGCCGCCGGATCCGTTGTAGTGGGCCATGCGCTGGTCGAAGTTGGACAACATGGCGAAGAGCTCATCAAGGGTCGCAGGGATGACACGGGCGTCGAGAGCCTACACCAGAGGTTGATAGTCCGCCTCCAACCCATGAATGATGTACGAGACGAGCTCATCATCCTGGATAGCCTTGCCCGCCGTGGCCAGCTCGTCGGCATAGCCACGCATGATGCTAAAGTAGGAGGCAACCGAGAGGTTACCCTTTTGTGCGTTGATGAGGGAGGTGCGGATCTTGTTGATGCGACTCGCCGATTGAGATGAGAACATGGCAGCGAGCGTCATCCAGAGCGCGCCCGCCGTGGTGATCGTGGTCACCGTGACCAGGACCTCGTTTGTGAGGTTATTCAGCAGGTAGCCAAGGACCTGTTGATCCTCCCGTACCCATATAGGGTGGAGAGGGTTAGCCGATGAAGTCTCCTTGCCATCCTTGGTGGTGACGAGGAGCTTGGCCGGCTCCGGGTTGGTGTCGTCGACATAGCCGAAGACGCCGGCACCGCGCAGCTGAGGTGTGATCTGCGTGCGCCACAACACATAATTCGTGCAAGATAGCTTCTCTGTAACCTGACTGTTGATACTAGGCGAGGAGGAACTGGAGGAAGACATGGCTAGGCTAGATGGGTTCGACAGAAGCTCTAGATGGGAAAAGGAAAAGCTTTGACTACCATGTGCGAAGCGGAAAACATCTTACCTCGTCGAGAGGGGACGCCGTGCATGTTATAGGCAGGGGCACAAGTCCCTGATAGCGCATACAGTTGAGATCTTACATGAGAGATTACAACTTGGAGATCAAGCTAGGTAGAGATAGAATTATGGTTACAAAGATAAACCTCCTAGCCTAACCGAAAGACTCTTGCTAAGATACGTATGTACAATACGCCCAAAGATGTTTGACACATACGGCCTGTTTAACAAACAATTGAAGCACCTAAACAAGTACTGTAGGTGTTAACTTTTGTACAAGAGCTTAGTGAATAGTAATAATCTCTCCCCTTGATTATTCATCTATAAGCACTTTGCATTAGATGTGCTCTTAGAATATTTCTTCCTTCAAACTGCCCCCTAGGTCACTTTTCTATGGTGTTTCAACTAGCTTACATTACAGGGTGCTACATGTTTTCTTGCTTTGAAGTCATGAGTTACAGCTTCACCAGAAATCAGTAAGATATATTGCCTACAAATTACTAGTATCTAGGTGCCATTTAAATCATACTTACAAAATATAAATAAGATAGGATACAAAAGTAGTTACAAAGCCTGAAGTTTATAAGTTTATAAGTTACAGTAGCGCCCATTTCACCTTGGGCCAGATAAAATCGATGCTTCAGGTGGAACTGAATATGTTGATTGATTATGTTGGACAGACATTACTGGATTTGCATTCATAAGGTTGCAATCAATGTTAGTTTCTATATTCATTGAACCTTCCAGTACCTTGACCACCGATGACATTGAAGGCCTTCTACTGCTATCATTTTGCAGGCACCACATTGCAAGCTTCAACAATTGAACTGCTTCCTCTTGGTGTAAGACCATGTCCTCACTATGGTTTTCAATCAAATCGATAAACTGATTATCTTCAGCCTTTTTCTGTATCAATTTGATGAGCTGAACACTCTCCTCGGGAAGAGATATGTCAATATTTTTTCTTCCACAAATTACTTCCATGACAACAACTCCAAAGCTGTAGACATCAACTTTTTCAGTGATTTGGGACGTTAACCATTCAGGTGCCAGATACCCAGGTGTGCCCCTCATCATTGTCATTACTTTGCTTTGGTCCCTGTCCATTAGCTTAGATAGTCCAAAATCAGCCAATTTGGCGTTGAAATTCTCATATAAGAGAGTATTTTGTGGTTTGATGTCCAAATGAGCAATTATTCGCCTGCACCCCTCGTGGAGATAGCATAGGCCTTTGGCAATATCTAGAATGATCATGTGCCGGGTGCACCAATCAAGAGGGGCATTGTTATGGCGGTAGTAGATACACCTATCAAGTGACCCTCTCTGTACATATTCATATACTAAAAGTCTTTCAGATTTCTCTGCACAAAAGCCGATCAGTCTAACAAGATTGATGTGTTCAATGCTGCCAATAGTATCGACTTCAGCCAAGAATTCTTTCTTTCCTTGTCTAGCACCTTCCAAACGTTTTACTTTTTTTTGAAAAGGGGGACTCCCCGGCCTCTGCATCAGAGTGATGCATACGGCCATCTTATTAACCAAATAAAGCAGTGCGAACATGGTTCCAAGGTCTCCAAAAGTAATGAAAAAGTAAAGAAAGCTCACATAGAGCCAAAACGGGCTAGAAACACCAACTAGCCATGAAAAGATGCCACAATCGGCTGGCTAAAACTAGGTAGGTAAACTAAATGCCTATCCTATTACATGACCGCCATCCAAACCGGTTGAAGATATCCCGAGCTACCATCTTCCAGCGGAAAGATCCAGTAACCAAATGCTCCCTGGCCTCCGTCTGGGTGAGTAGCGACCGCGAACAGATCAGTGCCGTAGTTCGGAATATAACCTGCAAAAAGTGGATACATGATATTCTGTTAAAAACCAAATCATTTCTGCAAGTCCAGATAGTCCACATCAAAGTGCAAACACCAACCCGAATGTGTCTCGCTAAGTCAGTCTCAATCCCATTAAGCCATGTCCCAAATAATGCGTTAACAGAATTCGGTGGATTCATATTAAAAGCAATGTGGACCGTCTGCCAAAGTACTTTGGCCAACGGGCAATCAAAAAAGAGGTGTTTGATTGTCTCATCCCGATCACGGAAACTACACCTAGTAGGTCCTGTCCAATTACACTTTATCAAGTTGTCCTTGGTTAAAATAATTTATTTATGGACAAACCACATAAACACTTTTATTTTCAAAGGAACTTTGACATTCCAAACATGCTTGGAGGTAGGAATGGAGTTCGAATTTATAACATCAATATACATTGATTTAACTGTGAATACTCCAGACTTAGTCAGTTTCCAGCGTAATTCATCGGGTTGTTGAGAAAGCTGGACCTCCATCAGTCTCCTAACTAGACGGAGCCATTCTTCCCAACGATTGCCCGCTAGCGTCCGTCGGAACTGAATATTAAGGGGGATAGATTGAAATACCGATGCGACGAACACCTCACGTCGTTGAACAATACGGTACAAAGACGGATATTGGATGGCCAAGGGTGTGTCACCGAGCCAAGTATCCTCCCAGAAACGTGTACTAGTGCTGTTTCCAATAACAAACTTTATCCTATTAAACAAAGATTGTTTAAATTTCATCAGTCCTTTCCAGAAAGGTGAATCGGTCGGCCTGACTGTAACCTGGGACAAAGTTTTACTGTAACTCTCTCTTCATCTATTTTCCCTTCAAAAACTGTTCCAAACCCACCACCTCCGAGCTTTTTACTAAAGTCTCCAGTGCATTCTCTCAAGTTTTCGAACGTGTACCTCACTGTCATTCCAGGAATTTGGTCAAAATCTAATTCATCATCTAACTCTTGGTACTTTTTCCTTCGCACATAAAGAATGACAGCAATGACTAGCAGTACAAGAATAGTAGTAGCTCCAAGTGTAGCACCTAACATCACCTTCCTTTTGTTTGCATTAGAGGCAGAAGTTGAAGGGCTAAGCTGCACCTTGAGGTAAGCAGAGGAGTTGTAGTGAACAATTTCAGGTTGTATTGATTGCAAGGAGAAGACCCTGGTCACCCACATACACGTTCCAGCGGAATCATTCTGGCCATACCTGAACATCACGGCCCTGCAGGAGCAGTTCTTCAAGCAAGCTTGCTTACAGTCTTCTCCGTTTGTTGCATTCGCAACGATGTGGCTGGCATCAAAATAAGAAACGTCTGTAAGAGTCAACAACTGATGGTGTTGCATTTCCTGACAAGAGATTGGAGTCAGTGATGCACAGCCAAGATTTGGCTTCCGCTCATCGACCGGCTTGAAGTAGCTTGAACTAGAATTACTCTGAAGCGGACAAGCACATTGCCCCCCTGTGCATATACCATACTCTCCGCATACTGTTGGAAAGGCACAATCATCAGGGAATAGTTTGATTACATCAGACACTACAGCCCATTTTGCATCTGCATTAGACCATTCGTAGAGCCTCAGGTGCCCGTCTGACTCCAATCTCATGTACTGGGTGGAGTTAGCTGCTGGTAATTGGATACTCGTGTCTGATTCATCTGATTGCTTGGACTGCACAGAGATGCTGAGGCTGCCATTCGTGAAGGTAACCTTTGTTGGATCTTTTCCTGTCTTGTTTTTGTTCACCGATTTCGAAAAATAGAGTTGTGGTGATGTGGATCCGACATAAGCATACAATCCATCAGTTTGAACTGTCATGTACAACTGATTCTCTGTCCAATTTGTTGCAGACGTACTTGCTACGAGCCTCATACCTTCCAGAAGTGACTGCCCAGAGACCAATGCATCAGTAGGGTGAGAAAATGACTGCCACACTGTTGCATTTTTCTGATCAAACAACACCAAATTACCAATCTCGGTGATCATCATGCCTGCTACAGACCGCCCAGAGCTTCTGCTCGACCAGACCAGGCTAGCATCAGCATCACGGAGGACCAAGTTTCCATCAAGGAAAGCTCAAGGGTCGCGTTTTCTCTGACGGGGCGAGCCCGGTTGGCAGACCAGACCACCTGTGGAGTCCCAGTAGTCGGCATGGTGATCTTGGCACCACTATTGGTGTAGACAATGAAGACAGCGAAGAGGAACACGTCGCAGGGGGAGGCGCAGACGAATCCTGCGGCGAAGGAGGGGCCATAGAAGGTTTTGGGTGAACGGAGGACAATGGCCCGCACGGCTGAACCGTCGGAGTAGCTGACGCTGTGTGGGAGGAAAGCTTTGTTATTGATCCACAGCGTCGAGAGGTTTGCTGCGGGGTAGTCGAAACGCTGCGACGCAGAGAGCAATGGTGCTGCAGCTGCAAGCACGATGAACAAGAGACGGTAGAGACCGGCAGGGCCCATGGAGACTGTAAGAAGAAGCAGCTCTTGACTTACGACTTTAGGAGAGAAAAGGAGCAAGTAACCGGGGTCCGGGGGCTAGTGCGGGGATGAGCTTTCATCGGAGAAAAAGATCTCACCTGGGTTATGCAGAATCAGTGAAGCAGATGTGAGCTCCGCGGAAAGAAGCAGTCAACAAGTCTTCGTCTTGCTATTCTCAGCATCCTAAGTTCACAACCATACCACGCGGTGTTTTGGGCGCTTCGTGTTTGACCATCGCCGGAAGGTGACTTATTGGCTGCTCCTGCAGGCCCAAGTCATTGTCGGGTTGGTTGGATGCTTGTCTCGTCGTTTAGAGCTATTTTAAAGAAGAAAATGTGTTGATGTCACAGAAATTACTAGTAGTGTAGAAAACGTTCTTATATTATGGGACGAAGGGAGTACTAGAGTATTCACAGAGTAAATGCAGTCCTCTTGCTACTTTCCTTGTGCACATCGTGAAAGATGGATCACGATGATTACTTAGGCAAACTAATCAAGCAAGCATGGGTATATGCAAGGCAACTACTAGGTCAGCTTTTGCTTATAATAATCTAATTAACGGTGGTGCTGTTGGCCGCCGGATCAGAAAGACGGGCTCGCCTTCCTCTGTTCATACCATTCTCTTGGGATTTTTGCAGGTTGGATTAGTCCGACTACTTCCAAATGATCATTGGTTGGTTGGTTGGCTACTTCTGCCGGGCCAGGGCATTGGCATGGTAGGTGAAGATCCGCACCTAACTGCGTCAACCGGTTGCTTTTCCGTGTGCTCGTACCGTGGCTTTGAGCATACTGTTTTTCTCCTCTCCTTCCCTGCTAGTATATGAATAGGAAGGACAACACGTCTTGACTCAGCAAACGAAATTATCGAAGTATATGGTGGGGCGTCCTCTTGCTACTATGGTTAGAGCAACTCTAGCCGAGTCTCCATATCGTGATCGTCATAATAAATATAGAGTTGTATATGGATATGGAGGTCGCCCACGCGACACGCAAACTCAGAGTCAGACATATCTCAGCCTCTATATTTTTTCTATTTTCTCATTTGAACACCTGAATTTCCTCCAAATTTTAAAAATTCACAGATCAAGCAATCATGGACATAGTTTTTGACATGTTGCATCAACAAAAGGATTAACCGGCGACATGGCCAAATCACATGCCGTCTTCATGTGCACCGTCGCCTCCCCCGGCATGTGCATCGTCCCTCTTCCGATGTGTGCAGTGTGCTCTTCTTCAAGGTTCCTCGGGCTCCTAAAGCGTACGATGATATTCCACGCCTTCACCCAAATTTTTCGAGCCACTGGATCCATTGTACTCAGATCCATCGTGATAAACTGACTCTGGGTGATTAGGCGGTCATCTCTCAGCCGACCGCCTTAACTTGGAGCTTACATGACTCCATCTTCGCCTTAAGTTGATGCCTCTTCTCCTCAATGTCTAGCTCGCGGATCGACGACGTTTGTCCAGGAATCACCAGTCACACTATTGAGAAATGATTTGGCATTGAGGGTCGATTCCCCCAAATTCAGAAAATTGTTCCTAAATCACAAATATTGCACATTTGCCACATTTTTCCACTGTCACCTTGCACATTTGCCACCCAATCACTGGTGACCCCTACATACAACTTTTCAAGTTGGTGCCTACCTCAAACTTGTAACATGTATTTTCTAGGTTTTTTGGTGAATTGAAGATTCAAATTGAGTGCACGGCAATCATACTATGAAGAGGGGCGCAAGCAAAGTTTTCTGGTATGAGCCCTAAGAATGTATCCTTAACCAAATTCTTCAAATCCACTCTCTACCTATTCCATTATATGATCTTTTATAAGCACCGGTTTATCTAAAGATTTTTGTCTTCTGGTGCTACCAAGTCACTTAGGGTTACTCATACTGAGAAAACTGACCATTTTTCTACTGTTTGATCATCGTTCCTTTTGTTCCAAACTGCTCATGCAATCTTGGTTGAAAGGTTGTTTGTTTGCTTCGGCTCTTCTGAGTATAACATTTCTCGTTGACACATCTGAGCCGCTTCATGTTGATTCTCTGTGAGTTACGGTATAAGTTCGGTACCTCCGATCTTTTTCAATAGGAAATTTCATGGTGTGCCTCGGCCTTTTTATGCAACTTCTCATTCCGAGACCTACTATGTCTACTATGATACTACAAAGCTATGGGTTTTACATGATACTTCTAAGCCGTTCTATTTCAACCGAACTTCTGACTGTTGTTTTCTATCTGGCTCATGAGCATTGCCTTGGTCGTTCAAATTTGTTTGAACGGTCTAGGTACTTCCACAAGTTTTCTTATGGCACTTCCTAGCTTATTACCTTTTCTAGTAATTGTTAGATTCTGGAATCTCTATATAAATATCTTCTCGTACCCTTTCGTAGTTGCATCCACCGTATCCATTCCACCCCAAATCAGCCTCCTCCCCTCACTCCACTCCACTCCTCCATCAACTAGATATTGGACGAGGGATCTAAGGCAAGAAAAGAGGAAAAGAAGTATTGGGTGATTCCATGTTACTTCCACTACTGCAGGATGCTGCTAACGCGACATTATGATCAGAGACCTTTCGACGAAACTGTGTGCGATGCCATAATCGCAAACGATGGTGTAAAAAACCCATCAAAAAAGGTACTAAACGTTTGCGATGGAGGATGCATCAAACACGGTTTAGATTTTAGTTGCGTGTGCGATGCAGGGCATACAGTTCAGCTCAATTAACTGTTTGCAATAAGGAGGAACAAAAGAAACGGGCAGCCAGATGAAGGTGTGTGTGATATATAGCATACAGTTCACTCGAATAAACTGTTTGTGATTAGGCAACACAAAAAAACGGTCAGCCAGATCAAAGGTGTATGCGATATACGGCATGCAGTTCACTCGGATGAACTGTTTGTGTTGAGACATGAGAACATAAACGGTTCAACTTAACAAGATGTGTGTGATACGCGACAAACAGGTCTGTAATCGGAAACGTGTGCGAAGACCGATTACTGCTAACAAGTCGTGTGTGTTGTGAGCAAACGATTGCTGGTATACAATTGTGAGTGATTGATGAAAACATCACCGACGGGTTCCATTGTTTAGTCCGTGTGCGATGTGATTTTCTTTGTCCGCACAACATCTACGCTCTGTCTACAGACTATCAACATATATACTTAAAAAGACAACATTGCATAACCAAATTAAGCATACAATTACACAAGTGACTACACATATAACATTTCCACACACCAAAGTAAGCAATTACATGCATACTAAAGTAGGAGAAACGATGATCTAATCATCTACTTATTGTTGCGATGACGCTTGCCATTGCTCTGCTTCCGGCTGGATCCCTGGCCGTTTTGGGGAAGGAGGCACTTCCTCGTGTCAACGATCCGCCTGTACATGTCATAGCTTGTGTACGCCTCCTTAGCCGCGTACACGACGTGAGCTTTTTCGAGTTTCTCCATCCAGGCTGAGTGCTAGTCACGCTTGTCCTTGTTGCATGAATCCTTCATGTCTCTGTAGTAGGGGTCGATGATGGCCTTGGTGAGGTGAACCAGTGAGTCCTTCTCATGCTCCTTGCTGCCCCGAATCTTGTATTGGCCCTGGATGTTGACAAGATTCTGGTAGGCGATGCCTGAATTCTCGAGCGCCTTTACATCGTTTGATGTCCACCGTAGCGAACATGTAGTGGGGGTTGTTGACAAACTAGCGAAATGCTCGCAAGGCCTTGTGGCCAGGCAGTAGAGGTAGACGAGGACGTGGTGGCGCACACACATCTGGGCGACGACGACCTTGGGACGAGAACCGGCACGAGCGCGGGTGTACTCGAGGTCGAACTAGACCACCTTGTACTTCTCCTCGGCAAGCAACAGCTCCATGATGTGGATGGAGTGCTCCACCCAGACCGGGTCGTTGGTGTACACCACCGAGAGGTCCATGAACCTTCTGTGGGTGTCCACCACGACATGCACGGTGAACTGCTGCTCATCATCGGCAGCCGCTCAGAGCGCCATTGGAGCCACACAGGATACCCTCTAAGAATTTCTCATGGTGGGTGTGCTTCTTGCAATGGTGGGCGCGATCGAAAGGTTGGTCGTTGTAACAAATGGGGGCTGGCTGGCCTGTAATCGTCACGTCTTATCACGGCGTTCATAGCAGAGGATTCTAGTGCATGCTTGACAACACCACACCGCACGCATGGGCTCGAAGAGGCGCCAAATGTATCGTCGGTGAGCCTGTTCCTGCGCTACCGCACAGTTTACCGTGCAAGGTTCCCGTCCGGCTAGGTTGGCCACGCGTCGGCTAGAAGAGGGACAAATCATGGGCATTTATTAGCAAAAAGCTTTGTAAAAACAAAGTGTGTGGAATGGCTTCAGTCCTAAGTTTACCCGTGGGTGATAAGATCAAAGTTACACAGAAGGGTGATGATGGACACTCGAGTGCGATAATTAATTCTGTGCTCTACAGGGCACACGGTGGAAGAAATCAACTGTCTGCAATAATATCGAAGATC